TATATATATATATATAGATATCTTAATATGGCGGTGTTTTTCAGGTTACAAGAGAAGATGTTACTAAAGTGGTGTCACGGCCTGTTTTTTCATATATACCACTGGAATTTCGCAATAAACTTTTTTCTGTATTATCTTACAGGAAATAAATTCAGAAGTGTTGTTGCGCAAACATTGAAAAATTATACGGATACATATCTGCCGTGCCACAAAAAAGTCTTGAGGTGCAATACATGGAATAACTGTCACAAACATTTACGATCTTGCATCACATTGCTAACAAGAACTGTTGTACGAAGCAAACAATTCAATAATATGGCAAATAATTCAATAATATTCAATGATAGAAGTAATTCCAATGAAAGAAACAGCAACGTTACCTAATTTTGTAAAAACAAAGTACATAGGAAGAAAACTCTTTTCGATATAAGAACGTTACATTATATGTAACTTATATATAATATACGCGACTTAAAAGATAAACGAAAAGATATGTACACATTCACAGAAAAGATATGTACACATTCAACTCAAACGTGATAAATAATCATCTCTTTCTCGATTATTTTATATACATACTCATCGTATCTTTTTAATTGATTCCGGAAGTCAGTTCTCGGGGAGCAGAAATTATATTCGGATAAATTAATTTTTGTTTTGCAATTTATTTTGTTTACACATGAAATGTTTACATTAAACATTGCAAAATATCACATTGCATATTAGGCGTCTTCTGCATAACAGCGTAATTCTTATAATTAAATAGCGATTTAATTGCATGTAAAGATGATTTGTTATTACATTTTATAACTTTATAATTTCCAATTTTTTCGCTATCATTATTCGCCTTTTCTAGTCTTATAAACTAACGTTATGGTCCCCCATGCAGATCTTTGATGCAATCTGGGATATCGTGATAATACTGTACTAACAAAAATTTCGAGCAAACGAGAATAAGATGAACTATTAACAATAAGATGTAGTAAAATGTACTATTAGAACTT